GTATAGATCAGGTTAATAATAAAAACAATTGGATTTTACTCAATATTTTTGAAGTAATTATTCAGCTTTAATAAAATTGATAAAATCATCAAAGACAGTTAAAAAATATATTTAAACCTTTGTTCACTTTTTGAAAATCCGAAAAAAGCAAGTATCAAGTTATATTAACTTATCTTTAAAAGAAATTTATTTACATGATATAAAGTTAAATATGTAACAAAAATATTTTAAAACAGAAGCATATATAAAACACATTTTTCTTTAAAAAAACAAAGTTGAAGCCACCATTTACAGCACCGAGGAGCCAAGCATAGCCTATTGTAAAGAAAACCATATCAAATAATTTCAAATATTTATTACCGATAGGGACGACAATTAAACATATTTAAAAAGCTACGTGATTCCATATTAGTAGAAATGTTATAGAAAAGTATATTAAAAAAGTATATTTAAAAGAAAGTGTATTAAATAGAAAACAGATTTTTAAAAACTACCTAATTTAGTAAGCATTTTGCCAATGATGTTCAATTTTAAAACCAATATCTTTAATAAAAAGCCGACTTGTTTCACTAAAATCATTCAAAGAATAAAATTATTAACACTTAAAGATAAAGAAAAAAAAAATGAATGAGATATAAACGATCGTACTATAGTATTATGAATATTTCATATTATAAATGAAAAAAAAACAACAACTGGAAAACAGTATACCTGCTTTTGGTAACCTATTGTGATACTGCAGCAGTTGCTGTAGGGATGCAGCTGTTCTTTTTAGTGTTGTTCAAAAATGTAATTTTAATGTTGGCTTTTAGTAAACTTTAGTTTAATTTAAAAGACATCACAACGGATTTAAAATATTCATAATAAAAAGAGCAAAACATAAAATGCTTTAAGGAGCCAAACTATAAACATAAAAGATAAAGAATAGAATCGAGATAAATAAATTGTATTTATATAGCTAAATATATTGCCTTGGGTTTTGGTAAATTTTAAAAGCAGTACCCAATAATTGTTTTTAACAAAAGAATGCAGCATCATTATATTATGATAATTGGATAATGAATCAATTCAACTTTCGATTTTAGAATTTAGGGAGGGGTATTTAAGAGGGCTTCAATATTGAAGTCAGGTTTAATTGGTGAGAAGAGAATTAAAAATTTTATTAAAAAAGATTAAAACAAATCAAATATACAACGTAATATATTTTAAAAAAAAAATTACAAATTTTTAATAAAAAAAAAACACCGAAACAAAAAATTACAAAATTAAAAAAAAAAAAAAAAACCGAAGAAAAAGCAGCAACTAAAATGTCATAAATATCTCTACTGATAGAAGACATTTACAACCTTTTGGTTGCTGTTTTTTCTTCGGTGTCTCCCAACACCCCGGTATGGATGAGCCCTCCATTTAAAGGAGGGCTCATCCATACCGCCATTACGTTTCCATTTATTGAAGGACCTCTCTGAGAGAGGTCCCGGGTGTTGGGAGCGATAACTTTGGTATTGTTTGAATGATAAGGAATCTAAAGTTACAAATAGAAGAGTATAATAAAAATTATACATTTGCAATTATTAAAAAAAAAAAATTAGCATAACCTCACCATTTACATTCGAAACAGAAAATGCTAAAAAATAACAAAAAAAAACAGCAAATTAATAAGGGTTAAACATGCAATATTTTGTATTTTAATAAATATATAGGGCAATAATGCAACCAGTTCAAAAGTGTCATATTTATTAATTAATTTTTTCACCTATTGCATATATTTCTCCATACAAAATATATAAAATATAAAACACAGTCCTACCAGCTATACTTTCACCTGACACTAAAGACAAATATATACTTAAATAAATATATAATAATCGATAAAATAATGTTAACATATAAATATAAACATATCTAAATAATTGTTTTACCCATCCGCCTCATTTCATCCATAAAGTTGTCTAAAGTTAGAAAAAAATAACTCAAGCTAAAAACAAAACTATAAACTAAACCAAAACTATAAACTAAAGTAAACTTTAAATCTTTTAAATATTAATGCTTTATTTATTCAACTAAACTAATCATAATTTATACTTAGTTTTTGTTCCAACTCCCCTAAAAGAAAGTTTAAAAAAAAAGATAAAGAACTTGATTTTTCAAAATTCCAGTGGCAGTACAAATAAACAAATTCCTAATAACAAATATCTAATAGCAAAAACACTGACTTATTTCCTTCTTCACTTCTGTATTGAAAACAATAAAAGCACTTTAATGTTTAGATGTTAAAATATCGATAAAATACATTTTAAATGCCACCTTTAACTAATGTAATTAATACCTTTATTAGATCTCTCTTGATTAACTTAAGAATTTAAATTTTAAATAAACTCTAACTAAATTTTAACAAACAACCAAAATAAATCTTTACTTTAATAGTACGTTATTAAGTTGATTAATAGATCAAACAATTTAATCTACTCTAATAATCTACTACCTTTTTAATAAACTTTAATTTTTTTTCTTTGACTCAGTGTAACTATAATATGGATATTTTTAAAGTAAAAAAAAAAATAATATTATAATATATATGATTTTAAAAACCTGAAACTTTAAATCTACCTCAAAGAAAACAGATATATATTGAAAAGTATTTTTATTTCTTTTTAAAAATTTAAAAATGCTTTTTAACTTACTTGCTTCAATATTGTCATCATCTAAATAGAAAAACAAACAAACATTTAAGTCGACTCATACTTAAATCTAGTTTAATTTCTTCAATCTTAAAAAAAATTTAATCTTTGAGGATTAAATTCATTTACAAAAGTTCGTTTAAGTTCGTTTAAACCATTTTAATATTGTAAAGTTAATTTAAATTAACAAACATATAAATGCAATTTATAACATTTGTTAATAACAAAATGAAAGAAAACTTACTTCTTAGTAATTCAGCAACTAAAAATAAACATATATTTAAGAACTAACAACATAACATTATACATCTGTAACATAATACACTATCTAAATAAATACAAACCTTCATCTTCAATCTGATTCATTCTATAAATTCGATATAAAAAATAAAAACAAATATGCTTAAAAACAAATTTAATAAAGGTAATAGACATGTTAAAACATAAAAAATGAAAACGATTGAATTGATTATACTGAATATGACCAACTTGATAGGTACGATTAGATGTAAAAAAAAATTAAAACGAAAACGCGCTTTTTATAATAAGTCTGGAAATTCTAATCTCAAAATTCCAGAACAGAAGAAAAACTGCGCACAAACCAAACTGCGCAACACTAAGCGCAAAGAGCATTTAATTTAGCTATGCAAATTACATCACGCATGTTTAATTAAGTACGTTATGATTATCAACTTTAAAAAATGGCTGAAATTTAAATTCATTACGCAACTAATCAGTTTATTTACTAATAAGTGCAATAAACATATTTATACATTTTGATAATTTTAGGAGCTAACTTGTCTTAATTCCATTTTTGTGTAAATGAGTTTAATACAAACTTGTCGCATATTCTGTCGGGGCCAAATAGCCTTCTAATTTTTATTTACTGCGGTTTAACAGGAAACAAAAATCAATCTAGTCTTAAATCCATTTTATTAGCTTAAAAATGATAAAAGAGTATTACTATACTATCACATTTATACTTGTATATATCACATTTTGCTACTAAACATGTTTTAAATTGACTTTTGAGGTTGTTAACGTGACATAATCTCATGTTTGCAAACAAAGCTAACGGACCCGGTCATGTTAAGCCTTCTAAACTCTGATTATTTCTATATTGAATAGATGGCCTCTTTATTTCAATAATTTTTTGCAAACGGTAAAGTAATTTGCTGCCATTTACTAAATATTCCTTTTATTACTCGAAGTTTCGGTTTCGTCAATATTTTGACATCTCCGCTAATTAAGAGCCCCTCCCCTTTTTTTGTTTTAATGGTAACCATGTGAGTAGAGTTTTTTTCATTAAGAGTAATCTATTTATGATGAAAACCTTTTACCAAAATAATAAAGCGTAAAGCAACGATTTACATATATAAGAATTTTTTCTTTCCTCAAAAGTGTTGCAATTGCAGACTAAACTAATCAACTTAATATTTGACAAACTACAAGTCTCCCTGTGTTTTTAACAACGAATTATTAAAGCATAAGATAGGGAAAACATCGAAAAAAAATATATATATATTAATGTCTTTATATCTTTTTATAATTTTACAAAATTTTACAAATTTAGGAAATCAAGTTTTTTTTTTAATATTGTTTTAATACGTCATATGGTAAAATCTAAAATAAAAAAATAAAAAACGGAATTATAACATCATATATATATTATATATATATATATATATATATATATATATATATATATATATATATATATATATATATATATATATATATTTATATATACATATATATATATATATATATATATATATATATATATATATTTATATATACATATATATATATATATATATATATATATATATATATATATATATATATATATATATATAATATATATATATATATAATATATATATATATATATATATATATATATATATATATATATATATATATATATATATATATATATATATATATATATATATATATATATATATATATATATATATATATATATATATATATATATATATATATATATATATATATATATATATATATATATATATATATATATATATATATATATATATATATATACACACCACATATAAACACTGAAAACCGATTTACCTGTTTTTGTAACCTTTTGATATTGCAATTAATATAAACATTTATAGAAAAAAGTAGCTATAAAATCTTTTTCGAAGTACTAAAGGATTAACAATATTAAAGGAAAAAAAAATCAAATAAAGACATAAATTAAATTTTTAGCAAGATTTTGTCTTGGCTTTTAGTAAATGAATAAAAACAGCAAGTTCCAATAATGAAACTATCTATTATTCATTTTTAACGATAGACACCAACAGGAAGGTAAGCAAAGCTGTCTATCAACACAAAACATCACAACAATATAGCAATATTATACATTATAACAATACATTACAACATTATAACAATAACATTAACACATATTCACACCTATATAACTAATATTTACACCCTTGACTCTAAAATCCAGTGGAAAATAACAAACCAATTTTAAAAGAATATGAAAGGCAAAACTAAAAAACCAATTTTGAGTTATCTACATTTATCCTTTTACTAAACTTTAATATAGTATATTTGCTTTTATATTCAATATTAGTTATTCAATTATTTCTAAGTTTAAGGATCAAGGTTGCATACTCTTTTATACACATTACACAAAACATCACCAGACATGTGTTTCCAGAATAATTAAAAAAAAGCTAGACAACACAACCTAGCTCTAAAGCAGTAACACCGCCCGGCACAAAATGGTGCCAAGTCACACCTCTGCTATAAGTACACCGCTTGGCTGGCAAGGTTAACAATCTTGCTTAACATTTTGCCAAGTCACACCACTTTGAAAACATGGAAACAACATAATGTAAACATATATACAACTATAAACAAATATGACTTCATATAACACATATAAACACAATATATAACAATATTAAATGACAAATATATTTATCAAAAACTATGAAAAAAATAAAAATATTAAAGTTACCCATACAAAATGTGCTCACAACCTACAAACAGTAAATTTTAGAAATGAAAATATTAAGACTATAAATTAAGAACATTAGAAAATATAACATTATTTGTGTAGTATGTTTCACCTACCATACCTTGAATAGGATGTTTATCAATTTTGAAAAACAAACTATTAAATGCTCTAGTTCTTGAACATGCAACGTATAGTTGAACATGGGAGAAACACGGTTTTTTTAAATATACCCCAACTCTATCAAATGTTTGACCTTGACTTTTATTGATTGTCATCGAATAAGCTAATCTGACAGGAAACTGACGACGTTTTAGAACAAAAGGTAAATTAGAATCTGATGGAGCCAACTGAATTCGAGGAACAAATACCCGTTTACCTTCAGAAACACCTGTCAAAACCTCTGCATCAATATAATTGGTTTGGAGAGCACAAACTTTCATTCGGGTTCCATTACATAGCCCAGCTTTAAGATCTAAATTTCTAAGTAGCATAATTACACAACCAATTTTCAATTTTAAACAATAAGTAGGCATACCTGAAGGAGTTAAGCTGTTCAAAAACTCAACAGGGAAATTATTTCTTTCATTAAGATCGTCAGTGTCTATTTGATCAGCACTTAAATTAGTTTTGACCTCTCCATGTAGACGTTTAAGCACTTCTTCATTGATTGACAATGAATCCACATTGGTGGGTGTTAAAATGACACGTTTAGCATAATCATCTTGTTGAGCATCTCCAAATATTTTTTCAACTATTGATTCGTTTTCTCTAATAATGCACTGTTGCGGTATTTCAATACATCCCTTAAAAGGATCTTCCTCCTTGCCAGGTATTGTTCCACTACCAAGTTTTAACAGCCATTCGGAAAAATCTCCTTCTCCATCACGTACTCTCATATTTTCAGTTAATGTAAACTTCTGCACCCATTGCCACTGTAAAGAACATTTTATACATGATTCTACAACTTCAGCTGGTCTCCCTCTTTTCACAACAGGCAAAATTTGCCTAAAGTCACCACCAAAAAGAATGACTTTTCCTCCAAATGGAAAGTTGTTGTTGCAAACATCTTTTAACAACCGATCGATTGCATTTAAAGCGTGTTTGGGAATCATGGATGTCTCGTCAAGCATAAACAAACTAACTTGCCTTAAAAATTATCCCTGAATAGAGTTAGGAGTCACATTACCTGTGCTGTTATCCAGTATTGGGACAGGAAGTTTAAATAACCCGTGCAGCGTAGATCCATTTGTAAGAAGAGTTGCTGCTATGCCAGTCCATGCAGCTGTAGCAGATTTAACACCCCTACTGCTCATTTCAGCAATCAAATAATTATATGTAAAAGTTTTGCCACTACCGGCTCGTCCATCCATAAAAAACAATCTGGAATGTTGATTTTCTACACATGGTTGCTCGTTCAATGCAGCAAGGACAGCATTACTTACATTTAATTGATTGACATTAAGAAGCGGTCTCATTCGATTAGCTTCGTCAATTGATTGCTGAACATTATCATTTAAATTTTCTAGATTAAAATCTATGAATTCATCAACAACAGGCAAATTATAATCAGATAGCGTTTTACCACTTTGATAAATAATCTTTTCGATTTGAAGAAGAGTAGCTTGTTCAGCTAATATAAATGGAACTTGGCGATGAATGAAATCCTCCATCATAAAGGCTTTGTATGAATTCCAAAGATGCAAAGGGTCATCAGGTTAACAAAAGGTTAAAATAATTGAAAACAGCTGCCTGATTTGCTTAGGCATTCGCGTTAAAACTGCCTCAGAAAGAGTATTCTGCCATTCAGTGTCATCTTGCAACAAACCATTAAAAACACACGCTTCACGAAAGGTTTCAAGAACTATTTCATTAACAGTACGCAAATCCTCCCAAGATTTTGCTCCTTTTGCTTGTAAAAGTAACAATCTTACTATCACCTTATTTCCACCTCTTTGTCTAACCTTCCATTTACAATGTTTATCATCAAATACAAAGTGATATGGAATGTCAACATATGAATAGCCATTGGCTTCTTCATTTTCAGAATTCAATTTAAACCAGGCCGTAAGGTGTGTATAACGTTGAGCAGCACGATCTAACGCCACTTGTTCTTCTCCTTCTCTAAAATACACAATCTGATTCTCAGGAAGATGAACCTTAAGACGGATAATAGAGTGTGACATATGACTTATGGGAAACTCAAATATTCGCCACAGCGCACTAACATAACGACAATCTAAGAAAGTGTTTATTTCATCGTGATTAACCTGTTCATTTATCAAAACATTCGCACAATCATGCCCTTTGTATATGTATTTATACAAATATTTAACAGCCTTTACAGATCTTTAGGATATTTTAAAAATAAAATAAAATCTTTAGGATATTTTTTGCTGCACACCCCATCTTTCATGCAGGGAGAATTTGGATTCAGTATCCCACATGGGCCGTGAATCATGCAAGTTTTGATAATATCATAAAGTTCACAATTAACTATCGGATCTGGAATTTCTGCACAAATCAAATTATCGATATCCTGTGATGTTTCAAGTATATCATCATTTGCTAAATGAAGTAAAATGTGGGCATGCGGCAAACTACGCTTTTGAAACTCAATAACCTGAACATGCGTTACAACTTTGCCTTATACACCATGTTTGAATATATCATTGAGGAGGTTATTTAACTTGAGTTTAAATACTCGAGTAACCAAATCAGGTCTATCATTCGCATTTTGACCCGGATATAAATTTTCTGTTATTTCACGCCATTTTGGGTTGCAAGTAAAAGTTATAAAAAGATCTGGTTTACCATACTTTTTATTAATTGCCATAGCATCTTCAAAGTTTTCTTTTAAAGCTCTAGGACTTCCTACATAAGATGATGGCAAAACTACTACTCGTCCTGGTCTAATATTACGATCATTGGCAATGTTGTTAATATGTTCATGTAAGGCATCGTACTGCTCGCTTCTCAGCTTATTTTGATTATTTCTTATAAAAGCAAGACGCTGGCCTTCAATTTTTACATATGCATCTACAGCATATTGCTGGAATAGTTTCTTGCCATAAAATAATGAACAGAAAAATTGCCTAACAGAAAGTCTATAATTGTAGAACTGAGATAATGTAACATGATTTCTAACCAATGTGGCACGCTCAGGGTTATGCACCAATTGATTATGCCAACCAGCATCACCTCTTGGAATAAATAGCGGATAAACCATAGGATCCAAGTTGGCTGACATACTTGATACAATTTTTAAAGGATGACCTCTTGGGTAAATAACAACTTCCCTGGAAGTTGGGGGAGCACCATCTTCGCCAACAAATACAACTGCAACTTCATCATGTGAAGGTAGATTATAACGACGTCTATCACCGCCTTCAAGTAAAGACATTTTTACAACAGAAGCTGAGCGACCTTCTATAGCCGCCTTACGAATTTCTTCATCTTCTACTTCAGCCATGTTTTTAAATGCAAGAGCAAATGGACTTTGTTCCATAATTATAGTTTGCAATTGAAACATTAAATCACGTAAACAAAGATCATTAGCATAGTGTTGCATTCTAAAATTTAGTGCAGCAAGTGGATCATAAATATATAGTTGAGAATATATTGGTGGAATATTTTGATCTGGCCTAAGATTACCTACACGATGAAAAATCTGGCCACATATTTTAAAACATGGAAGCCCATGATTCATTGGTTGAACTACATTTGCTGTAAAAGAAGCAAAAGAAAGGCAGGCATTATAATTTCGAATATGTTTTAAAAAATTAGCATTAGCATTACAATCTACATAACTCCCTGTAAACAAATCCTGTAAAGCTTGTGTAATTGGTGAAAGTGGAGGCAAAGCTACCTTACCATTATGGCAACATAGAAAATGTGTTTCATCTGGAAATTTCTTAGCACCACAGTGCTGAAAAATTTGATTCATTTCTCCTAAATAATTATAATCTGGAATAGCATTACTTCTCGCTATAGAATACATTCGTCCTTGTCCAACAGCTCTTCTTTCATTTTGGCGACGATTAACATTATCTCGATCGAGCCTATTTCTTTCATTTTGGCGACGAATAACATAATCTCGATCGAGCCTATTTTTTTCATTTTGGCAACGATTAACATTATCTCGATCGAGCCTATTTCTTTCATTTTGTAAACAATTAATTTCATCTCGCCTAAGTCTATTTCTTTCATTTTGTAAACAATTAATTTCATCTCGCCTAAGTCTATTTCTTTCATTTCGTCTACGATTATTTTCAACACGCCTTATAGCACTAACATCATCTTGTAAATACAAAACTACATCTAGCCTATCATCCATTTCAATGTCATCATTTTCATTAAACATATTTATCAAAGCAACAATAATTATTTCTTTTTTTTTTTACTAATCTAAAGTTAACAATAAAATAAAAAAACTTATTAACTAAAAAAATCATACTCGAAAAATTAAAAAAAAAATTTTCAAAACAAATATATATAAAGAAACCAAACAAATGCAAAATAAAATTAATTTGCCCTCATCAAAAGTAATACAGGTTTCTTAAGTTTATTTGATAGAAATTAAGAAAAACCTGCAACCACATCAGCAAAAACTTATTAAAACTTATTTTATTTCTGATAAAAAAAAAAAAAAATTGCGACAGCGTCATAGTTCATGCGTTGGGAGAAAACATTGAACAAAACACGTAATAAAACTTATTAATGCATTATTAATGCATTATGTACGATAGAAAACAGGTTATTAACGCAGGTTTATAAATTTTTTTCTCCTAACACACTAATATGCTGTCGCAACTCCAAGGATATATATAGTTATATATAGTTATATATATATATATATATATATATATATATATATATATATATATATATATATATATATATATATATATATATATATATATATATATATATATATATTATATTTTAAAAGATTTTATATATACGTAATGTCTACTTAGAAATACTTAATGTCTATTTATACATTAAAAAGATCTACAATTTTGAAAACCTGAAACTTTAAATCTACCTCAAAAATAACTGAATTTTGAAAATATGTTATATTAAAAATATTGAAAAGTACTTTTATTTCTTTTTAAAAATTTAAAAATGCTTTTTAACTTACTCCCTCCAATATTTTTATATAATTTATAGTATATATTGATAAATAAACCTCTACAATTTTCTTGGTTTAACAACTTTTTTAAACTTGGTTTAAAAAAATTTCTAATAAATACATATTTAGATACCTTAAAATGAAGCATAACACAACACTCTTTTGACAAATTCCAGAAGAAATTTTCTTAATTTTTTTATTCCTTATTATTTTTCCTTAGAGAATATATATATATGTAGATATAGAGAAATATAAAATAGACTGAAATAAATCGAAAACCTTAATTTATGTATGAGAAAATAACTTGAACTTACTAAAAAAGCGATCAGCTTCTCTTAACTGCTCTGAAAAATAAAACAAATACTGCTTAAAATGTTTTAAAAAGACAAACGACAAAACTGCTTTCTTAAAAAAGAAACATTGTACTAAAAAAACTATTTTACCAGTCAATTTAGTTCTAACTTATTCTAAAAAATGAAAAATTATTACATATTTAGATACCTAAAAATGAAGAATAACACAACACCCTTTTGACAAATTCCAGAAGAAATTTTTTTTATTTTTTTATTCTCAATTATTTTTGCTAAGAGAAAATACATATAGATATACATATATATATATATATATATATATATATATATATATATATATATATATATATATATATATATATATATATATATATATATATATATATATATATATACATAGCAAACTAACAATTATTTAAATTTTTATTTTAAAAAATAAACAACATTAATTCTTCTTGAAAATAAATGTATCAGCTCCAATTTGATTGCTGATTTTACTCGAATGACCGCATAGAATATATAACTGCGCTTAGAAAATTCTAGAGGCAAAGAAATAGTGTATTTTACATAATGCAGAACCGTAATTAACAAAACGAACAATAGGCGTAACAATGCGTAACTATGCGCACTATTAATAATATTCATAGGCTATTCATTATAGGCGGATTAATACTATTTTTTATGTACTTATGTATTTTTACGTTTTTATGTATTAAGAATAATAAAAGTATTTTAACGTTTAAAAGACGTTTTTATTATATTATTTTAGTTACTTTTTTTTTAATTATTAAAAAAAAAAAATAACTCTTTTTATTAAGAATTAAGTTTTATTAATTATAATAACTCTTGGTCTTTTCCTTTAAAAATCTAATATAAAAAACAATGTTATTAAAAGACTACATACAGTGGTTTATAAAATTTGTTGCTTATCATAAAACGTTCAAGAATTATACCTCGTTTCTACTTCTGTTTACATCTCTTTGGCGGTTGCAAATACTCTGAAATTAAGGAAAATTTAAGTACTATATTTTATAAAAAAGTACTTTTAAACATTCTAGTACTGACACGTTTGCTCGGTTTGTTATTGAAAAAAAAAAAACATTTTTACAAATACAAAAGTTTAGGCAAGGGATCCATTATTTTATTTATCCGTATGTATCAACTTTCTAGTACTGACCCGTTTGCTTGGTTTCTTAATGGAGAAAGAAAAAATTTTTAACAAATAACA